GAAGGATCGGAAACAGATTTCATATGTTAGTTATGATTTGCTCACCCTATCATGAAATTGCTTTGTTTCAGTGGTGGATTCTTTTTTGCTGTCAAGGAAGTATCTTTGCTTGATCAAGGTGAAGAAGGAAAGCAAAGTATCATCCAACTTGAGCAGGTCAAGCAGCTTCAAGTTTTTTTTATCATAGCTCAGTTGTTATCATGATTATTTTAAGCTTTCTGCCGCAAGGCTCTGTAACTATCTTGAGTCAAGATTCTTAACCTTATTTTAATTCTTTCGCTGTTACTTCATTAACTTCTTTTGATTTGTACAGGAAATTTCTCTTCTTAGCCAGTTTGAACATGAAAATATAGTCCAGTATTATGGAGCTATAAAGGTATTAATTATTGGCCATCTGCTGTGTTTTTCTCTCTTGCTTTCTTTGGCATTGATTGGTGTTCTTTCTTCTGCTGCAATTTCCCCCTGATTGTACATTTTTTTCAACGTCAAATGGTGCTATCTTGAGATTCATTTCTTCGTCTTGCAACTGACAGAAGTCTATCATTGCAGTATTTTTGGATTTTTAGTTGCTTAGATCATTAAGTACTTATTAACTACGGCATCGTTAGGTATATTTTTTCCATGAAATTAAATATGCTACAATGATAGTAACGTTCTCTTAGTCAATTCTTCAATTTCTTGCTTACATGTTATACTCTTTCTATTTTCACTTGCGAGCTCTTGTATATTTTGTCTCTTGGAGAAATTACGTTGAAATGTGAACAAATTTTTGCCTTCTTTGCAGGATGAATCAAATCTTTATATCTTTCTTGAACTGGTTACTCAAGGCTCCCTCTTGAGCCTTTACCAGCAGTATAAACTTCAAGATTCCCAGGTCTCTGCTTATACCAGACAGATTTTACATGGTTTAAAATATTTGCATGACAGAGATGTGGTCCACAGGTGATTAAACCAAAACATCTTGTATAATCTTTTTTGCAGTTTTTTAATGATCCATACTAACTTCCAATAAATGATTTATGGAGTTCCTAACATACTTTTCTGAATGTTGAATGAGTTGTTGATATGGCAATGAATTTGCCATTTTTAGTTTTAGAAAACTAAATAATGCTAAATTCTCATAATTTTTCCTCTCATCTCAGAGATATCAAGTGTGCAAATATATTGGTGGATGCAAGTGGATCTGTCAAACTTGCAGATTTTGGCCTTGCAAAGGTTCAATTTTCTCCTCTTCTGGTTACACTGCCTTTTTTGTCTTCCACAGTTTTGGAAATAGTTTACTACAATTCTATTGTGATTATTTCTAATAATTGTAGTTAATTTTGTTCAGGCTACCAAGCTAAATGATGTGAAATCTTGCAAGGGAACTGCATTCTGGATGGCTCCTGAGGTTTGTCTCGACTCTTTCTCCAGATTTATGTAGCACAAGAAGTTAAATACAAGGTTTCTGATTTGTTTGTATGGTCTGGTTATATTATTAACTTGTACAAGGATTTCACTCGTACCATCCTTTCTGTGATGGCATTCAAGTGAGGATGTTCTTTATTTCCTTTCACTGACTTAATTTATGGGCAGGTTGTAGGGATGGCAATTTAACCCTTCCCTCCCTGAATGGGGCAAAAAAACCTGCCCCGAACCCGTTCCGTGAAGGGGGGAGGGGGGGAGGGGGGAATTATTTCTAGACAATTTACCCGTTAAAAATCTATTTTGAATTTGTATTTTATTCTCTAATAATAACATAATTCGACTTTCAAAATGTAAAAAAAAAATTAAAAATTAAAAAAATTAAATGGGGCAACAAATGGGGCAAAAAGTGGCCCCGTCCCCACCCCGCTCCATTTAAGGCGGGGTGGGGTGCGGGCAGGTTGGTAGGATTTTGTGAATATAACAATTTGCCACCATTTCTGTGATGGCTTTCAAGCGAGGATGTTCATTTTTTTTCCTTTACTGATTATCAAATTATGGGCAGGTTGTTCGGAGCCGAGGATATGGGCACGCAGCAGATATATGGAGCCTTGGGTGCACAGTCCTAGAGATGCTGACCCGACGTTTTCCTTACTTCAATCTGGAATGTGTAAGTTCAAGCACTTTGCTTTTATAATTTTATTTTAATTATGGAAGCATATTCTGTGGATTGTTCATCATCCTCTTAATACACTGAATATATGTTCTCGCTAAAATCTTATGGAATGGTTTTTGACGAGGGACCAAAATGCTGAATGACAAACATATAGTGCATTATGATGTTTTTCGAACGATAATAAATCTGGACATACTAAAGATGGAGGTTTATGTACACAATTAATAACAGCTAATTTGATTTGATGAATTGTCAAGTCATTGTATTTTTCATTGGTCCATGTTCCTAAGATGAGAAATAATCATCTAATATGAAATGATAAAACAGATTATAGTTAACAGAAATGGTAACGAAGGGTGAAAGAAATCTCAAGAATGTTGATTTTCAACCATAAAAAGCCACTTGTTTGAAATTTCACTTGTTTGAAATTTGAT